CATTTCTCATAGAGGTCCTGGAGCCACGTGAATCAACAGTGATGCTCAGGACACTTTGATAATGAAAAGGAACGAGAAGGCAGAAACAGAATTTTGTGGGGCACAGTGTGAAGGCAGGCAGGGGCATTGTGTGGGGTATGGTGTGGAGGCAGGGGCACTGTGTGAGGGCAGCGTGTGAAGGCAGGGGCATTGAATCCAGGTTGTGTGGGCCTTTGCCCACAGGTCATGTTGGGTAGCTTGGACAGGGGCTTGTTACTGCTATTGTGAGTTAAAGAAACTTGAGTTTAGAAACCCAGTATGCTATGCAGATTTAATCCAGAGAAACAGCCGTTAAAAGAGAAATTGGAGGTTTGACTACTGGGTCTCTAGGACTTGTCTAGTGAACTATAAGCAACATTGCTGTGAGAGTACTAATGCTTCACCTGAGGAGAAATCCTACAGCCCAGATATTTCCTTAACTGGACCAATTGTGATGACAAGATTCCAATGAGTTGCTCCTATGCCTGATACTTAACTCTTAATATTAACTAAATTGTGTTCCTACAATTTTACAGATGACATTTGAGAAATCTCTCTTTGGCTTTGTGTGTAGTTGCTGCCCCTCTCTCTTGCAGGGTCCAGCAATGCCTACATTTGGATGTCTCATTAAGCATGTCACACTGGATGCAGTCAGGACCCAAATTTTCCTTCTTCACACTCTAAGGACAGAGGCACAGGGTCTCTTACTCATGGTCAAGAAGAGGCAGAACTTGTTGGCACACTGCTGGAAAGTAAGTGACTTCTATGAGAGACAAAAGTGTGGCCCAGAGGCTGAGGCTGGCCAGTCCCTGTCATATACAGGGCTGACAAGACTTCAAGGGCCCCAGGCTGCAGGTAGACTTTCAAATAACTATAGCTACTCAATAAAGCTAGGTGAAAGCATGAAGCACATGATTTTCTAGCATTTAGAACATGGGCCACCATCTCCAAGGTTCTGGATCATATTGCTAAAGACTGTCTGTGGTGGTTTGAAAGAAAATCTCTCCCATAGACTCAAAGGCAGTGTCTATTTGGAGGTGTGGCCTTGTTGAAGGAAGCATGTCACTGGAGGTGGGCTTTGAAGTTTCAAGTGCTCAAACCAGGCCCAATGTCATTCTCTTCCTGCTACCTGCCAATCTGGATGTAGAACTCTCAGCTACTCCTCCAGTACCACATCTGCCTACCATCATGCTTCCTACCCTGATAACAACAGACTAAGCCTCTGAACCTGTAAGCAAGCCCCAATAAAATGCCTTCCTTTATAAGAGTGGCAGTGGTCATGGTGTCTCTTCACAGCTATGGAAACACTGTCCTTTGGGAAGGGTCTTGAATTTACATTATTTCTCAAACTCTGAACAGAGAAAGTAAGCAAGGAACCCATTTTCTTCTGCTCTTGTACTTTGCTGAACTCTAAGCAACAGACAGCACCACACCTTGCCTGCCTCACTGGATCTCAGCTCTGCCAGCTATTGCAATTAACTTCTGCTCTGTATCCTGCTCCTTCCCCAGCTCTGAAGGTGCCTGGAAGGTGGGTGATGTAATGTGCTATCTGAGTTGGCCTCTGCCTGAGGCTCTGTCCCTGTGTTTCTGTGACAGGAAGGTGACTGGTGTGATGAAAAATAAGCATCTCACACATTGTCACCAAGCACTGACTAGGATGATCACCCACTGCCTATATTTTGTTCACTTCTCCCAGCCATGTTCTGCTTCTAGTCTATTCTCCACCCACTGTTTCCGTAATCTTGCCTTTTCTGTTTTGTTTCCCATTTGTAGTTTTTTTTAACTTGCTTCTATCCCATCCTTCTTTGACTGTTGCTTTTCCATGCAGAAATATAGCAGTGTGTGAAGATAAGCCTGAAGTGTTGAAACCACAGAGGCAGAGTCAACAGAGACTGCCAGTTATGGACCAGACATAGCTTGATACAACTGTATACTTAGGATTTGCACATGTGTCTGGAAAGTATGAACATACAGGTTATATGTGTGCAAGTTGGCCCTCAGCAGAGTTGGTTTTAGAGACAGATGGTTAGGGAAGGGAGAATTTGGTATAGGAGATGGCCCAAGTAAACGTCTTGTGGATATGTGATTCCATACCAATTGGCCACAAGCATCCTCCATGGGTTGAACTAAAGTAGAACTGAAGCACCGAGGCCCTGGGATTCTAATGCCTTGCTCACGTCACAGTTCAGCTGCTTATAAGCCCATGTGATTTGGGTTGCCTGTCTCAGCTCTCCATCTCCACATATAAAAAATCAGGAAAAATTTAATACATACTTCATAGGCTAAGGGAGATAACCATGAAAAGACTCCATGTAGTGGTCCTTTACATTCTAGCAATTTATGGTTATAATTAGGTATACTCATGGTCAACTGAGGATAGGAAAACCTTGAGAGACAACAGGAAGGGTGGACAAACTAGACTCTTTTACTTTTCTCTATGTCTGAATCTATATTCATCAGTCTTAGTATCAGAGTGAGCCTTGTGGAGACTACAGAGGATAGCTTACCCAAAGGGTTATCATGAGTAAAAACCACAAGCTCACTGAGAGAATTTCCCTAAGCCAGTTAGCTAAGGAACAACAGGCTGCACACTGAGGCCCTCTGGAACATGCCCCTCTATTTGCTTATCACATCAGTCTATGAGAGCTGAACTTTCGGCATCATTAATACAACCCTCTGATCTTGGCTTATTGTCATATATTCATTCATCTACAACACTTTCTTAACCAACTACTATGTATGAATCTTCATGTCACATCATAGAGATACAGTTAGACATGGTTCCTATGTCTACAGATCTTACAGGATTAAAGGGGGGACTTGTATCAAATAAAACAACTTGAAGCAAAAATCAGAACATGAAGGTAAAGGCTATAGAATCTGGGAATCTACCTGTTGTGTCAACAATATGTGCCTATCTCTCAGAAAAATGTGTTGTACCTGCTTGAAGCAGATACTAAATGCATACTTGTGGAATGAACACTAACCTTACTCACTGCTTGAATACAATGGGCAAATCAAGATATGACAGGAGTATAAGTGGGGAGGGGTGTACTGATCTGCAGAGTCCAGGAAGCCTTCCTTCAAGAATGAATGCTGAAAATGTACTCTGATTAGGTGAGTGAGACCATGTAACTTACAGGCTTGGAAAGAACTGCAGTTAAAGGGAAGAGAAGACTTTGGAGGAAACAAAAGCAGATGTCCTTCTGGTCCATAATCCTGGCAGGTATATGAATAGCAAGAGTGATCAGATGGGCTCAGTTAACAAGAAGTTTTGGTAGACACAGAAAAGAATCATAGCATCCAGAATTCATAGAAAAAGTTAAGTAGTTGTAGTTATTTGATGAACTTTGCCCTTCTGACAAACCACAATCTTTCTAATTTCAGCTCTGAGGCCTTCCATCTTTGGGTGTTTACAAAGTCACTTATCTAGATTTATTTATAGCTACCTTTATTTAATCCTCTCATCAGCCTTTTGAGGTAGGTAGAAAATCCCAGCAGCCTAGTTGAGGAAAAGAAGGATGAAGGAGTTTGACTGACAAGTGGCTGAATTGAGAGGTGAATCTATGTCTGCATTATGAACTAAACAATGCCCTCCAAGGTTATTATGTTAAATGTGTAACCATGAGCATGACTCTATTTGGATGTGGAATCTATAAGAAGGTACTCAGCTTAAATGCGATCATAAAGATGGAGCCCCTAACTAGCATCATTAGTGGTTCCCTAAGAGAAGATGATACATGAGCCAGCTAGGTGGCTCTCTTTTCCTCCCTCTTCTTTATGGTTTCATCTCCTCACTCTTCACTACAGTTGGAGCTCAGAAAAAAAAGGTTATGTGAGGTCACAAGTGCTATTTGTAAATGACACAACTCATTCCCTGTTGACAGTCAAAAATGACAAGAACTTAAGTACTCAAATCACCTGGCCATCATTTCTAAGTTTTCTAGTGACCATATTCTATACTGAAACTTTCTTAGCCAAAGGAGTATATGGAGGTTGGAATCTGAATGATGTTCTAATCTCAACCCTTTTCCTTTATATTATCATGACTAAGGAACTGTGATTCTCAAGGTTTGGCATGGTATGTCTTACCCATCCCTGGATCCACAACTGTGTCCATTGACAGTCAGAAATAACCATGTTATAATTTTCCATAAGACTGAGATGGACATTCCTTAGACAAGTAGTACTGCCAGACTTTCTACCTGGATTCAGAGATGAGGACCAGCTATGGTGGCATCCAAATATTTGAGTGAAGTTATAGCTGCCTAATTTGATTAGTCTCTTGATAAATACCATGGTACATGATAAAGTATCTGAGTCTGGGTGCCATCTAACATGTATCCTTACCCTATATATATTTTGGCATTACACAAACTCCTTTGTCCTTCTCTTATTAATCTGTAAAATGCAGAAAACAACTTGTCCTGTTCAACCCCGACGTGACTCCAAGAAACCATGAAATACTTAGCAAATAAGACATTGTCATCATAAAAAATAAGCCTAAGAACTTACATTTTAAAACAAGAATTTTAGCACTAAGTGAACATCCTTCCTTGTCTTGGTAAAAGGGAAAAAGTAAGCAAAACCATGCATAGGAGGGGAACTGTTCCCTAGAGATAGTCATGTAATAATCTGCTTGGTCTCTGGGCTGCGTTCCTGTCAATGCATCTCTATGAAAACACAGCAGAGGGCTCATCCTTGCTATCAATGACCCACTAGATGTTTATTATGGAGTAGCAGAGTGTGGTAGGGTGAATTCACTTCTCCTAAGCTACCTAATCAAATTCCCTAAAAGTTTCCATGAAAGCCATTGCATTCTACATGCTTGTTATTGGAACGGTCAAGCCACACTCCTTTGCAACTACTATAGAGAACATATCAGGGAAAGGAGCAGGCAAGCCTGTTTTTGAAGTAGGCTTAAAATACAAGAGCATAGGCATTCAGGCAGGCAGAGGAAGGAAGGAGCATGCTATACCCACCTGCCACTGCTGATGAGGGGCTTATTTCTAAGACACACACAGCACAATGCACACACAATGCAGAGAGAAAACAAAAGACATAGATCACACATTTCAGATGGTTGGTGGACAAAGTTCAATACATGTCAAGCTTGTTACATCTGAGGTGCACATGGAAAAATGGGTCTGCACCCTGTTCATCAGATGCTTCCCTCTCATCAAATCTCAGCAAATAAACACATACACACATATATGAAATGCCACTGTAAGCTGATGCTGGTCTATTCAATGAAATGTTGTGTGGTCATATGGACACAGCAGTATGGGAAGATGGAATGAGGAAGGAGAAGGGCTTCCATAGTAGCCATTTATGGTCCCGTGGCATCTCTATCCATGAGGAGAAATAGATCTCCACAACATGGTCTGAGCTTTTAGGGGGAATAGAAGGGACTCCTGTGAGGACTTAGACTTCTGTTCCCCAAGTATGAGAAGATGGCCTGGTGATCCACAGGAGAACCAGGATGACAACAGTTGACTTGGTTTAAGTCTAGGACTGAGATGCCAGGAACACAAGGTCTTATTATGGAAGTTATCACATCTTACAATTTGCTTCTCAACTGTTCCCACAAACTTCTGTCTTCTCATTTGCCTTCAGATGACACACTGTTGAACTTTCCCATGATTTTCTGTCCCATATGGAATCCACAATCACAGTTCATTCAGATTTGGTTTACTCCTTTTGAAAGGAGCAAATCTAGCCAGAGTAGATTATCTCAGAAACATGACTGCATGGCATGCCAGAGGAATGATAGGGAGGAGTACTTTTTAGTTAAGGGTGATGGGTTGAACAATATGGATGGAAACAGGCCAAGCAGACTCTATCTATTACCCTCCCAAGCTCCTGGAGCTCCCTCACATGGCCAAGCCCTCCAGATCCAGGCTTCCTGCACTCACCATACAGTGTGATGCTGGCATTGGTGTTCCCAAGCTTATTTGTGGCCACACAGGTATAGTTCCCATAATCTTTCTCTGAGACATTGAAGAAAGTCAAAGTGGATATGCGGCCTTTGTTCTCAATCCTCACTCCATCCAGGCCAGTGGCTAACCTGCAGTAGGACAAAGCACTATTGATCTGAACCCACCATCAAGAGAAGCAGCAGGTATTAAAAGAAGGCAAAGGTGAGTCGTAGAATTACCACAATGATTCTCTGTTCAAATGCCTTTCTTCTGACGAACCCAGCCCTTCAACACAAGCCTTAAGTGCCATCTCCTCTATTAGGAGGAAAAAGGAATCATCGTACTCAAAAGACAACTCACTGAAGGCTACCACGTCTATGACTAAACCAAAATTCTAAAACAAGGTCAATTCATTTTGTTGACTTCCCAGCTTCCTTCATTTTATTTTTTCCTTTTCTTATCACTTCTGATTCTAAAAGGAAACCCGGTTACAAAGGAAGTTATAACACATTTTTATCTTGCTTTATTTTCCCCCTGGAGTTGATTACCCTCCATCTGGGGGATGCATGATCAATCATCTATGCCCCGAGTCCTTCAAAGTTACCTGGTGTCTTCCTTGAACCACTGGAATTCAGCCATGGGGACAGCAGAGGCTTCGCAGCTCAAGATGCCCTTCTGACCGACTGAAACACCGGTGTTCTTGGCTTTTGAGATATAGGGAGGGTCTGTGGAAGCAAAAGCAAGCAAGCCAAAAATAAATAAATAAAAAGTGACTCCAGGGAAGGAGACACATCTGTCCACTGGTGATACCCTCCCCCTCTTAGTAAAACGATCATTTATTTTAAGATGTTACATTTAAATGTGAAGGTGTTATATTTGCCTTTCAGGCCTTCAAATCCATCTGAAATTAGTCACAGTCCTCACTTGCTGAGAGCTCTGAGAGTCCCAGGAAGACTCCAGCTATAAATGATATCACAGGTGTTGATGAGCCGAGCAATCTGATGAAACTCTGCCCTTCTGTTGGCAGTCCCTGGAGTGTGGGGCTTAGGGAAAAGGGTGCTGTCACTTCTAGATAGTCAGTTTAATCCCTTCCCCCTTTCCCTCCGGAATTCCCTGAGAGCAGATCAACTCACAGTTTACAGTGATTTTTACTTTCCGCACATCAGGAGCAGCCACGTCGTTCAAGGCGCTGCACTCATACTCCCCGGACTGGTCGCGTTTGATGTCAGAGATTTCCAGGTATTCATCCTCGCTCACAAAGCCCTGGCCTTCTGGGAAGACAGAGATGGGGCAGAAAGCAATGTAGACCTGTTACTCTAGAGACAGTAACATCACAGAATGTGAGAAAGCAAAGGGAAGAGGCAGTGTCAGGGAGTGGGGCTGAACATCCAACAAAGAGAAAGGGTGCTACAAAGTAAGACATTCTCTGATGGAGTCTTGAACAAGCGGATTTGCAGGCAATTCACATTAACTTTCGTAGAGCATTTGATAATAATGAACTATCAATATTATCTTCAGTGATTATTGTAAGAGTTAATTAAGAATGTGCATTATAAATATCCCAGTACATTAATAAAACTTGACAACTTAAACAGATCTGTCATGATCAATAATATAATAAAACATTGCAAGCAACTTTAGGTTTTCATAGACAGTATTTTGTATTTTTTTTGTTGTATAGGAATGCCTTTGCATATAAAATATAAGCTAACTAATTCCTTATAGGATAGGGTAAATGTAATGTATTTCACATTTTAATACAAATAAATCCAAAGTTGCTGGTTCACTTTCAACCTGAGACAGATAATAAATAACCATCTCAATTCATCTGTTCCACAATGTACATATATATTTTTAAAAATACTATGCTGTGCATGATAAATAAATACAATTTTAGTTGTCACTTTAAAATTTAAAAATTTAAACTATAGTGGAGTAGACTAGGGAATTGATGGATGAATTATTTTGTGTAGATGTAGAAAATGCTTGAAAACTTGTCAAAAATAAACATAGTAAGCAATGGGCCTCTACTTGCTAGAACACCCCCCCAAATATCCCATACCTGGTTTAGGGGGTCATCCTAAAAGCCTCACTCTTACACACATATAAAGTTAGCAGTATGATATCCAAAATATTTGAAGATTAAAAAACTGCTTCGCTTTAATTTGTTATTGTGTGCTCTTACTGCAGCCCGGGCCCCTCCCTTTACACCCTCCCCATCCTGTACCCTGGTGTATTGCAAAGGGAGCAAGCTCGCTTTCTCTGAGTTCTGTTGGAACACTATGCTCCCCTGAAAACCCTAGCAGTGTGAAGGCCAAAAGGCAGGATCATTTTCCTTTCTCACAGACCTGCTGCCTAGTCCTCTGTGCTCCTGAGACAGGCAGAACAGTCAAAGCTCAGGAAACAGTCCCACTCTCCCCACCACCCCACAGGCATGTCCTGACCCAATGTGTGCTCGCTCGCTCAGCCAAATCTGTGTCCACCCTTGCTATGGAGCAGGAAAGGGTTGTATCCACGGGGAGCGTGTGGGGTTGGGGGAGTGATTCTGTTGATTTCACATCCTAGCTGCTGCAGGTCTAGGCTTCGGGGAACTTCTAGCTCTTGTGCCTGCCGCGTCCCGTTGCTTTTTGACACTTTCTGCCTTCCCAAACTTTATTCTCCAGCTAGAACGTAATATTGGTCCCTAGATGCTGCTTATTAAAACCATCCCCAGAAAGTACGATGCCTTAGGAAAACATATTTCCAGGACCCTATCTATGGAAATTATTAGAGTCAACCCACACCAGCACTTCTGTTAGCTCCATTCCTTGTGACTCTGAGGAAATATTTCATTGGCCAACAGACCTCAGGGCAACCTCACAGGCATGAATTAGAGGTGGTGGCAAATCTAGCTGAACCAGCATGGAGGCTGAGCAGTAGGCATAGAGGAAGAGACCCAGGAGTGTCTGGAATGGTAGTCCCGAAACTACCAGCCCAGCACTCCAATGGCATTGCTCTGAAATTGGTCCCCAGGGACAAGAGAAGATCTGAGAACAGCTGAAAAGATGTTGGGGAGCATGGAGTCTCCCAAACAAGGCATGGGGCCCCATTCTCTGGAAGGCTAGGGTGGTGTCAAATCATTCTACCTCACAGTTGTCCAGACTGCATCAGTAGGGAGATGTAAGCATCTTCTCCCTTTTTTCTTAATATGCAAAATTCTGATTTCACTAAATTTGAGAGTTTAACAAAGATAAATTGTATTTCCTTTGTTGAAACTGGGTTGATTGACCCCTGGGAGATTTTTTTAAGAGTAAAACAGGAATGATATCAATCATACCTAAATGTCTCCACTCTCACTTTGGTGTTTTGTATTGTTTTGTTTTGGTTTTGGTTATGAATAAATATAGAAGAATGGGAAGTTTGGCTATCGTTGGTAAGAGCCCATTATTCTTTAAAAGAACGTATTACAGAATACTTGTCACTATGTAATTAATCCTCAGTGCATCAGCAAAACAGATTAGCTACCTACAATGGGCCTGGCAGGGACCACAAGCAGGGCTAGTGTTTTCTTCTGTTAGGGACAATAAGAGAGCCACAGCTCAGGGTAGACACTGGGAAGATGCCCAGGCAACGCTCTTGTCAGGCTCAAGAGTGTCATCAACTCACTAGAGCTGACATACAGGCTGAAGGATGGTTTCACAAGACACGGAGGCCACATACCTCTGTGTGAGCAAGACAGACTGGGCGCTCTGTGGGGCATTGTGGGGCATTCATAAACACCCTCTGGCATGCAAGGGCTGGTTTTCACTTTCTGAAATGCTGTCCTCATGGGATGGATATACAACAGCACAAAAGGGAGAAAGGAAAGGTACAATCCACGTAAAATGGGACTCCATAGGATAATGCTACCTCACTAAATGAGAAAACAGATTTGGTCAAGTTTGTCCTAGAGGGGAAGTGCTTCTCAGATTTTAATTTGCATATGAATTCCTTGGGGACTTAAAAAAAAATCCTGCTGTCATTCATGTGCTTATGGTGGGTTCCAGGATCTGAATTTCCCACATGTGCTCTAGTGCAACTATGCTGCTGGCCTGAGACCAACCTCCAGCAATGAGGGCATCAGGCAGACTTAGGGGTTGGTGCTGTCCCAGATAATCACAGGCTCATGACTGACTGTGTCTGAGATGCAGTTTGGTTCTTAAATGTTGTCTGGCAGCTCATGTGTCAGAGTCCTAGTGAAAACTTGATGCCACTGGGAGGTGCCATTTTAAGAGGTGTGATCTAATGGGAGGTTTTAGATGGATGAGGTGTGGCCTTGGAGGTGATAGGGGACCATGGCCCTCCCCCACTTCCTCTCCTGGCTAGGAAATGAGTGGTATTGCCCTGGATTATGTGGACCACAGTGAAACAACCAATCATGACCTTGAGTTCCCTCAGCCTATGGGGCACAGACACCCCCCTTTCTCATGATAGTCTGAACATCTCAAGTGTCTGTCACCGTGATGTGAATCTAGCACAGCCTGAGACATAGTAAGCAGGTCAAGATGATGCACTGAGTGCCCCCTTTATGCTGAGATCTGCCTGCAACGCATCTCTAAAAGTGCAAGCACCTCAGGAACTCCGAGGACACACCAAGGCTGAGGCCCAAACCCTTGAAACGGTTTCCCACTGACTCTCCATACCTGATAGAAACATGCATCTCTACCAACAGGCTTCTTTGCAGAAAACTGTGAGAAGAGACCCCATGATGGTGGTTTAGATGGCCCAACCTATTTTGGATGTTGGATGAGATTTTTAAAGCACCATCAGTTAAGATTGCTGAATGCTGGGGGCCCTAGGACAGAAGGACAGCCCTGGGGGCTGTGGGACAGCCATTTTCCCAACACATTCTAACACTGACTGTACACCTCTGACTCCATATGTCAGAGAAGCGTCAGGAAGCAGACAGAGTTTGGGGGAAGCACAAGTTTGGATGATGGAAGGTGGGAAAATGTGCTAAAATGAGGAAGGTAAGAGAGACAGCTGGGACATGCAAGATGCCGGGAATCCTCAGGATGGTGAAGACCCATTTGAAGGGGTTTCTTGTAATAAAGTGTTGGGGGAAGTCCTGTGCATTTGTCAATAAAGACTGTCTGGCTAATAGGAATCTAGATAGGTGGGGCTAGGAGTCCAGGAGGATTCTGGGAAGGAGAAACACAAGAGAGTTCGAGATGTAACTGCCATTGGGGTAGGAAGCCCGGAAACCCCTCCGGTAAGAGACATACTTAGATTAACAATTATGGGGTAAATACTTAAGTCAGAGCTAGCCAGTAAGAAACAAGCAAGGCCAACAGCTTCATAATTATTATAGCCTCCTGTGTGTTTATTTGGGACTGATGCGGCTCTAGAACCAGACGGGCGGAACGGCTTCTCTCAAGGAAAAAGCTTCTCTTTAACATAAAGGCTACCTGACGATAACATTTTCTCAGATGAAAGACACTAATGCAGGAGTCTGGGATAGTTCCCCACATTTTCTTCATGTGCCCAGGACCCAGAGGCATTATGAATCTTCCTTACACCTTCAGGCACACCCACTAAAAGTTTTTAAAAACAAGGGATATTTCTTTGGAAGGTTGGACTATTTCAAAGATGATCATTCAATTCATATACTAATAAGACTGAGATCTATGTAGCTGCAAATAGGGCCCTTCCAGGATGTCACCTGCTCTGACCCAGAATGTGGGCATGGGGGAGGAGTAGGCATGTCGTGGTTCTGTGAACCCAGGTGCAAGTTCTCATTTACTAAGGTCCAGGAACAACTTTATCACCAGGCCCACCTCTGTCTTTGGAATGGAGATGTAAACAGAAACTAAGTGAGAGGAAGAATGCTTGACCGGATTACTGTTCCAATAATAAGCGTTTAACTCAAGACTACGAAGATCCAGGAGTTGCGTTGGATACTTTGTGGGTGGGGGGCAGGTTGGCACCAACAATACAGAGACCAAGAATAATTACAGGCGCCCAAGACATCAAACAGATTGCTACTTTGCTCTCTATCTTTAGCTTGGTATTTCAGTTCCTTGCTATTTCCAGATCTCTCACAGAAGGTACAGGAGGGCAGGAAGATATCTCACAGTGGGAAGTAATGTAAGTATGAGGGGATGAATAGATCAGACAGGAAGTCCGAGGAGACACCCAGAGGCCCCCTGACACTCTTTGCTCCCTTCTATCCTGATCCCCAGCCAGCTGCATGTAGGCCATCTGTCTTCCATCGGATCTTCCCTCCTGTTTCTCCAGCAGACTCCTGAGG